GGATTCTGGGCAGGGCTCAAGCACCAGGCATTACCTTCTGAACAGCAGCAACAGCAGCAAAGTCGTTTTTGTCTATCAGAGCGTACTTGCTTCGTAATCTGGCCTCCACTTCACGCTCCTGTTGACTAGGGGAGAAAGCAGCCCCTTACCGTTGGGTTCAAGGAGGACTATTTCATATGGCAAAACCTGTAATACCTGCCAATATCAGATTTCCAAAGAAAACCGTCTTTTACCTGTAATCTCATTCCAAAACACCCCACCTTGCTCCTTCTATTCTTCCCCATAACCATTGTAATCTTCTTCTACTCTCCTCCTCCTTTCTTTTTCTACGATGTCCCTTTAGGCCTTTTAGATACGGAGGTTTTTCGATGGTTATTTTAATACTTAGCAGAAACTTTAATGGTCCAGATCAAATAATATTGTAACCGTTCACTTCCGTCACCTTACTTTAACCTAGTGATTTTCAAATTGAGTGATTTTTCACTGAAAGGGAACAAGTAAAGCACTGTCAGTAGGCTTAAATACACTATACAAGACTTGAAAATCGTTAGAGAATCTGCAAGTTAAAAAAGACTAAAGCCCACTGCTTCAGAAAAATAAAATGTCAGAAAAATAAAAGGAGTCCCAAGTTAAACAATAATAATCAGGCAAAATTTTAGCGTGAAACCCATTTTGGTCTTGGGTCCCAGCACAGCCTGAGTGCCCAGTCTGATGATGTACCACAGACACTTGGCATTCACACAAGTTTCTTGAGGGCAGGCAGATTTTCTACAGCGATATCCCAATGCCACTCTTGTGAGCAGCAACCTCTGCTGCCTCTCCAGACCATTGCTGCAAAGGTTGGTGGGGCAGGGAGTGGGCGGGTTGCCCTAATACCCTTATTCTTCTTTGTTCTCTTCTGTTTTGTGACATGGAAGCTGCTTCTCCTCATTTTTAGGATTTTTTTCCAGACTGTCATTCACCTTCCCTCCTTCAGCCCAAAAAACAACTTTCCTCATCCACTGGTGACATTTTCGAATAGCCACTTTCACGCTTTCTCCCATCCCACACCACACGTCAGAGAGCGCCTCCCTGGAAATAGCCACAGAGCCTTCTTAGCGTGCTCCCCCAAATTGCTTTATGACCTTCCTTTGCCGTGATCTCTAAAAAACAGTAAATCTGATGACTTTTAGAGGCTGGTGTGGTGAGACCACTTCCTATCATCTCATCCTAGAGAGTTTGATTTTTCTTTTGATCTGTTTGCAGACTGCCTTGCACTATGGAGATGTGCTCCATGACTAGGGGATCCTGCACAGTTTATGCTCAGTGATGGTGTGTTTGCCAAGCAGGCTTTTTAACCAGTGAAGTTTACCATCAAGAGCCCTTGCACATGACTTACGAGCACTGGAAGGTTAGAGGCAATAGTCTTCGTGTGCAAAAGTCAGCAGAATTTGTCCAGAATTGTGTTTTCAGTTACAAGTTATTCCCTGTACTTCATAATGATTCTTCACCAACGTCACGGTAAGTGTGATATCACAGACGAAAGCTCGGTGGCATTCCTAAACCTTACTGAGAAACGCATCAACCTTGGATATCTTACCTTACAATCAGTTTGAACTGCTTAAACACCTCCTGGACTTGCCTGATGTTCACTATCTGAGGAAGAGATGTGTACAGTGAAGATGCAGGTAAGCATTTCTATGCCGTGGTCAGCTGTACTGATTCAAATATTTCAGACTGTGAGGACTCTGCTTTCCACGCTCAAGGAGAGTTACCTTCCTCCTGCACTTGAGAGTCAGGCTGGAGGTGGATATATTGCTCACTCTGAGGAGACTTTTAAAGAGAGAGGAATCTGATAGACTGTGGTAAAATTCCATGGAGCGCACAGCTACCAAGGTAATGACATTTTTACAATGATTTTACAAATGACATAGACGGCATCTTGCGGATTATGATGCTACTTCTCTTCCCACTGCTGCCCAAGACTGCCTTCGTACTTGGAACTGCCAGAGCACTATCTTTAGTCCTCTTACCCACGATAACAAATCAGTGCAGTCGAGCCATGCTGTTATCTCTGGTTTGGAGATGATGGACAGAGGCATGGACAGGTAAGTAACGGGCAGTCTGTAGCTGAGCAGGAACCTGCACTCAGCTCTCCCAAGGTCCAAGAGACTGGACCAAGCTATGAGACGCGCTATCTCTGGTCTCAACCCTCTCTCTAAAAGATTCTTCAGTGCCGCTGAAGGCATCCTTCCCTGTGTGAAGCTCCTTAGTCCTTCTCTACCTTCCCTGCTCCACACCCACCCACATGACATTTTGCAGGCCAGGTAAAACACACCTTCACGTGAGCCCTTATTCCGCTCCACTCCTGCCTGCTGGAGGGAGCAAACAGGGACTTTGAGAGAAGATAACGATTACATGAAATGAGGAGGAGCGTCTCAAGTGTTTCGTTTAAGCTAAAGGGTTATCTAACTGTTTGGAAAACAGTTTTCCAGCAACTTCTGCACTGTTGGCACAGTGGCTTCTGTTCACAACCAAACAAGACCTTACAGTAACTCTGAGTGTGCATTTATGAATTTCATTTTCTTACATTTTGTTTGTTTTCCTGTTTCCCCTCACAGGAATATTCGTGTACGCAGAACTTCTGCTGCTTCTTTTCGCAATCATTTTGCAGTCGACGGGTAGTTTCAAGTTGAGACACCCTGCCCTAATGAACCTGTCTCTGAGAGACTGAACATATTTTGGCAACACACCTTGCAAAGATTTATTTTGACATAGGCAGGGCAAAATTTTGACACCAATTCTTTAAAGAAGTTCTAAATAAACCAATTCAAAGGGTTTCAGGACTGAGGAAAAGTCTCCTCAAGCTTCCAAAAAAGCAAAAATGGTGTGAAAACAAGGAGACAGTCCTTAACATGCAAAAAAATTCAGTTACAATTCTGTAACAGTTTTGGGGTTAAAGACAGCCTCTTCCGAAGACATTTTCATTGCTTCTGTCTTGGAGTAAAATGGGATGGAAACAGTATGTAAGTCCTTCTCGGCTAGAAAGCTACTTACATCAATTTCATCAATGGCTCCTTTTAGGTACTTATGGACTTGAGACTTAATCTCTGCTATCTGGATGTCAGTCAGAGGGTCATAAGTCACCAAAGAACGATTTACCTGAGAAAAAAGGTGAACAACTGAGTATCAGTGAATGACAAAACCCTAAGCAAGTAGTAGTGTGGCGAACACCTGACGTTGCTCTACTGTGCCCCAGGAAGCCTTATGTTTAATTTCTGATTGCGACTTCTCATCATCTGAGTTGACAGGACGTGGGACTTGGGAGCATGCTGAAATCAATGCATTCCCCTTCACGTTTCAGTCAAAGAAGAGAAGGGCTTCAAGAGTCTGCAAAAAACATCTACCGTGGATGGGGCCTGAAGCTACAACACAGTCTCACTGCGTGGGATCTTCAGAGCTTTGCCTAAACCCAGAAAGACAGTGCTGGAAGGAGAGGGAAGAATACAGTCACACTGGACGCTGAGTTAACCGATCCTCCTGAAAAACAAAGATTATGACAAAGCCTTAACTAGGTCCCGTCTAAGCCGGTGCAGCCTATTCCTTACCAAGCTGTCATGCATGGCCAGTTCCTGCTTCAGAAGAATAATCTCCTTCTCCAAAGCCTTCACTGTCCCCTAACAGGAAAACAAAAGGGTGAGCGAATGACCAAATGCTATTGGAGAAAAAACTGCTGAAAAGCAGCATTAAACTGGCTGCTAGAGAACATCACAGCAGTGTACCGGCTCCCCCAGGGTTTGCTGCCAGGTTTCCATCAGCGAGGTAGTGAGTCTGGAAACCACTTTGCCTTTGATTAGCTTCCAACAGGACAGCTTCTGTCGTGCCCTGGGTGTACTGCCTGCAGAGTCAGCCTCAGCCATCAAAAGAAGGGCCACCTGTTTTTTCATTTGATGCTTTCCTGATCTGGTACTGTAGGGGCCACGGAGTTCTGGACGATGCGATATTATCTTGAAAGCAAGGAAGTATGCAGGTTTCCACTCTGACCCTTACTGAACTCAGTAGGAGTTCCGACATTAACTTTAATAGAGGAGGGAGTCTCCTGTGGTGTATTTGATTGAATTTCTCCGTAATGTGGAATATCTTCAAGCATTCACTATTTAAGACGTGTTTCCAGAAAGGTGTGGGTACACAAACCTCCCCGGGATTCAGTGAGAACTGGATACTGAGCTGCTTTTTAAGTGACCTGTTGAGCATCGAAGCACAACAGCTTCCTTAAACACTACTCTTCTGGCTACTCTCTTCCACTCCACACTTCTCAACAAAAACAAAAGGGACTGAAGAGGAAAAGACAGTTTGTTGCACAGCTTCTTCTGGAAGCTGCTGGAGGAAACTCCCCAGCTGTTTCTCTGCTTGCCAGTGAGATCAGACCATGAAATGCAGCAGGGTTCTCACACACCACATGTGTTACAGATCAGACAATTCTAAACTTGTTCTTTGGGCTATCAGTAATTCGTCGCGCATTTACTGCTGCCAGCTCCGTTTCAGCTGTGAAAGTGCACTCAGGACACCTAAAATACTATGATCATTTTCTTTAAATTATTTCCTTGTTTAAACAAGTTTTGTAATTGTGGCAAAAATGTTATGTTACCAGCAGCAACGGGGATAATGCTGTGATAAAGCTGCAGCTAGGACTGGAGGCGATTTCCCCACATACCAGGGGAGTAGTCCACAACACGATATCTCTGTTAAGAGGCGAATCTTATCAGAAAAATTAAGGACTCCTGTGTATGCAATTGAAAGAATTGCCACGTGTCAGGGAAGATGTGACCGTCTGCATGACTGTACCCTCTAGCACATTCAAGGTAACTGTAATTAAATACCAATGAAAAGAGTTTGATACTAATCCGTTTTACCATATACCTACATTCAGCAAGCGTCAGCTTGGCTGATGAGTGGTAATTCGTTAAACTGCCGAATTTCCCTCTGGTCTTTAAGGTCATTATCCTAAATATTAATGAACCTGAGAAAATACGCCTTCTTCCATTCCCCTTGTCTACATACCTCTCGGTCATATGTCTCATTGATGACTGGCTCTGTTGTGATCCATTTCATTCTGGTAGCGAAACGAAGAGAAGACAACTGAAAAACATGGGTTTTAAGTAACTGAAAGAGATATTGGCAAGGATATAATTTTTGTAATCTGTTACTACTTCACCATATCAGATCCCAGAACACAGAAATACAAAAGCTATTTCACTGCAGGGAGCAATACAGGATTTCTCATTCCAGGAGGGTATCTTCTAGTGCTCGCTGGCTTCTGTGTGATTAGCCAGCTTCAGATGATGATGTCTTTGTCTTTTCTGCTCTGCATGTGGACAGCTCTTTGTGTACCAGAGCTGTGATCTCAAAAATACCCACTCCCATTTCTGATCAAAATAACACTTACATCCTAAAAGCTCCAAATCACACACCAATGGCCTTCAAGCTTAATTCCTGCAATTGTGGCATCCCGACAGTAGGCCCCTGCAGCCCGAAAAGCCTCCTCTTGATGCCAAGTATCGCAGCTATTTCCTCAGTAGTACTGCGTGCTTCCAGACGCTACCAGAACACAAGCAGGCGATGATAAAAGCAACGCTCCGCCTTGAAGACAACTGCATAGCAGGTGTCTGCGTTTACATTTCGTTGCCACGTAAAATTTTCTCGGCAAAGAGCAAAGCGATTCCCTTCACTGCGTTGCAGATGTGGTTCAGCTGATCCAGTTCACACCGGAAGACCTTCACCAATTTCATTGTTTCACAGGTTAAAAAAACCTTACTGTTAAGGAGATTACTCCTGATTCCTGAACCAGCTGAAAGCCAGCTCAGCTCTGATGTGAACCGGTGCAATTCCATCGACCTCATTATGTGATGTACCATTCAAACGCGTTCACAGAGTTGAACCAACAATAACAATTAACACTATCCGGTGTGCTTAGATTTTAGCTGCTTGTGCCTGCTTTATTTCAAGCTCTCATTTTGGCCCCCCCCGCCCCCCACCAGGCCGGTTACCACTCGACTGTTTGCATCACAAAGCAGATTGGCGAGAGCAATCTGTTTTCTAAGCCGTTGAGATAAGATGAGCCATGCGATGAATTAGACAGGATGTTTCTCTGGGAATCCTGCCACGGCCCTCCGGAGACTATTCTTTGAACCGAGCTACGGCCAATCGCAACAGTAGCAGGAACAAGACTTCAATTCTGCAGAAATCAGTTCAACTTACAGTCTCTTCCACATGCACGGCTTCCCCACAGATATTTGCCACTAGGACAGTATTGCAGTTTCCCCCTGGGAAAAAATTAAAAAAAAAAAAAAAAAGCAAACAATATAATTTGGGGGGTTTTGTTGTTTCCTTTTCTGGAACGTATTATATTATCTGCTCACTAAAATAGAGAAAAGGAAGGAACAAAGAACGCAGAGAGTTTGTAAATGCCCCTCTAAAGCTCCCATGGGTACAGAAACACAGTGGCACAGAACGACTTAAGACTCAAGGTAAAATGTGTTTCTCATGTGGCGATGATGCAGTAAGAAGATGGGCATACAAACTGTGAAAGCCTGAAATGGGGAAAACCGGAGCAGAGGATTTTAAAAGCCCTTGGCCTAAACCTAATAGCGGGGAACCTGGCAGGACACAGTCACTGCCTTTCCTAAAAGCAACACAAGACTTCTGCTCGGAACGCCTCAAACGTCGCTCTCATTTCTGATGACTTCGGTTACTCCACACAAATGCCTACAGCCCGTTTTCAGCTGCTTTCTCCTCCCATGTCTCCAGCCTGCATTCTAAGAGCATAAGCCTTTCCCGTGGAGTCACGATGCACCACAGCTTTGGGTTTATCATCTGTAGCCCGACGCTAAAGCAGGAGCATCTGAAAAGGCTTGTAACATGCCGGGGGCTTTTTTTGATGGTAGTTTTTTAAAGTATTCTAAGGTTTGGGGAATTTCTACTGGCTTGATCAGTGTGGGCTTTGTACTGTCTCCTGCGCCTGCTGTTTTATTTGATGAGGAAAACCAGACATCCTTTGAATAACGAATTAGTTCCATGTGTTTATATGTTACGGCCTTAGGACTTGGTACGCTCATTGAAACAACGCTGTTTTCTAGGAACTATTTGGGGCTGTCGTAATGCACGGCTCTTACCTAGGGAGTCCTTCAGAACGTGAGTGAGCTTGCTCTGCCGGAAGGGGATGTGGTCCCTCTTAGGATCAGCCAGGGCAACGATGATTTGCTCAAGGAACGACAGAGACTTGTTGATGTACGTGGCTTCTTTCAGAACCTGTCCTTCAGACTGTAATGAAGATCAAAAGGCAAAGCTTCCACAACACGGGTTTCTGGCCGAACCGCGGAAGAGAACATATTCCTTACTGAGGGTACAACTCTGCTTGACTGCGAGGGTAAGGATCTGATTCAGACCCAACAAATTCGTGACCTAGAGCTTTCTTCAGTTTGAAAACAAGTTTTCAGAGACCTCAGGTTTTCAGTACAAGTCTACCAGGATCACTGGCTTTCCTTCCCAAAGGGTAAATTATGTATTTGTCACAGGGCTGATGTGATTTCTGTTCTGATCAAAACAGAATGTCACATGGGACCTGAGGAGCTTTCAGTTGCTGAGTCCTAATGCTCTAAGAAAGTTTCGACAGTTTGCCTGCTGTGACCAGAAGCGGGGGATTTGCGCTGTCACTCGTGGAATGAAGAGGAAAATCAGAGGTTCTTTGAGAAACGACAGACTCAAATTAACTAACTGAGTCGGGGTTAGGTTGGAAGGCACAGGCAGGATGGGAGTCACATACACGTGGACTTACAGACGATACACAGCAGCTGCAAACAGCTGAGCACCCTCTGATGTGTTAATGTGACTTAAAATTTGTCACAGTTTCTCCTAGTTATCACAGGCTGAGTTCTGTGGTGGGGAAAACCTGTAATTTCACCTCCACCATGTTCATTACTGGACTCTTCACCACGGACTGAAATATTTCTTCCATTACTTACTCCAGTCTTGCTCAGTCTCTCTGAGCCTGCCAGATCTATTAAGTTGATTTTGGAGTTAATGCATTTGACATCTGAGAAAACTCTGAAACGAGACTGAGGGAGAAAAGAATATAAACTGTACTTGACAGCAGACAAAACTGAAATACAGTAACAACCAGACATGTAAAGATCCTCAGCCATTTGAGTCCCTAGAAAAACTGCTGGAGCTCTTACCTCAATATAAATAGTAAAGATGCAATGGGATCTGGATGAATTCTTATTCAGTGTGTGCTCTGCTATCACTCTGTTGGTCTCGCCCTGCAAATGAAGTAAAAATTGAAGACAGTGTTTTCAAACTTCTGCATTGGTAGAATAAGGGGAAATTAGAAATCCACGCAGTTAAATAAACAGCAGTGCAATCTTCACTCTGCAGAGCCTGTAACACGGATCAGTTGGTTAGAGCGGTCAGAGCAGAAGCTCACCATATTTGCCTCGCTTTCCTACTCAAAGGCCTCTCAGAGCATTTCATGGTGCAGTTGGCAAAGGTCACTGTTTACGGTAATAACGCCTTTTACCGGAGACCACATTATCTACATTTCCACCTTCAAGGCTCAGCTCACAGAACTGTGGCTTTTTGAGGAACAGTCAGGCAAGCCTTGTTCAGAGGCAATACCGCCCTGGCTGTTTCAGTTTCTTGATGACTAGAAAACCAAAGAGCTCCCCAAGCTTTAAATGTCATAGAAAACTCACACATATACGATAGCCACGAACTTGTGATGCCTGCTTACAGGAAAAGAAAGCAACATTGAAAACGATGCTGCAACTGCTTGTTAGGAGCGCCAGTCTATCACAGAGCTGTGCTGCCAGGCTGGCGAGGCAGAAAAGGAAGCGGAAGGCTCTACAGCACAGAAACGCGCTTGTCAACAGGTCTCAAAGCTGGCTGGTCTGCCTGGGTCTCAAAGGAGAATGACCCTTGAGAGCTGGAAGGTCAGTGACTGGCTCCACACCAGGGAGCGTAAATCCAAGAGCAAGAATGAAGGCGAAGCTCTCTAGGTAAATACTACCAACCCCACCCCACAAATGAAGAAACAGAGTCACAGCATAGTGGGCAGCCTCCTCAAAGCCTGGAGCTTTCTCTGTGAACCTAGAACCACAGGCATCTAAGGATCTGAACTCATCCCCAGGCATCGCTTGCACTCCTTGTGTCAACAGATCTCATTATCATCATCCTTCTACTCTTTAAAAAGAAAATGGGAGCTCCTGCGAATCACAGAGGCTGGCTTAGGACACCACAGCCCCATTATTAAAAAGGCAAGTGAAAGATTTTAAGGTCACCAGATGGCTCCTGGTAAGAATACGCTTCCTGCATACAGAACCAATTATTTATTCATGTTTTCCATTAACTAAAGCAGCCACAAGTAAAAGAAAGATGCAGACATAAGTAAGCAAACTCCCTTCAGAAAGCTAACCCATTGTGTGAAGGCCCCTGCTGTAAAATCTGACTAACGGTAGCTGTGCCGTGACCATCCCAAACTATCTGCCAAAGGCCTCACTGGTAAGACTCTTTTCTTGGAGCATTGGCATAGCTAGGACAGGCAGGTGTGTTTTTCAGGAAGAAACTCCGGTGTACGTCAGCTGGTGGGTCTAAAAGGACCCCAAATATCGTACACTTTGTACTAAAGTCACTCCCTGACACCCATAGGTGATAACCAGGGTAATGAAAACAAGTCTTTTTGGCTGTCTGGGACCTCGGCCTGCTGAAGGGGCCAGTGAGGTGGCTGGCATTGCAGATAAGCCTTTTGAAACGAAGGCAGATTCTGTGGCCGCCTTCACTAGTCGGGTGCTGCCTGGAATCTCCAATGCTACTACGTTCTGCGGTCTCACCCCAACATACTTCCTCCATCACTTGACTTGCCCTGGCGTACACTAAAAACAGGGTTTCTCCATGGAGATCTTCCAGAATCCCTGTGCCAGGGACATTTTCCTTGCCAGAACATGGGCTACAAAGAGTTACCAGTTCTTCTACCCACAATAAAGAGAACAAAGAGGGTTGAACCTCCCTCCAGATGTCCTGGCCACGCACCTCTGCTTTACTGCCTCCTCCCTCAGCTAAGCCAATAAATATAACAATCAGATGAAGTGTAATATTTGTTTTTTCTTGCCTCAAAAAGGAGATTTAGAGCATCTTCCTCGTGGCTAACTGAATGTATAGATAAGCCCTTCACGTAAACACCCTGTGGGCAATCCACTACAGCCATCTGCACGTCACTGGTCCCGTTGCTTGCCATGGTGGACAGAAGGTCAAACAAGGTCTCATTGTAGATCTCCAGGTAGGATATTCGGACAGTGATGAACGGATCAACGGAGTGTGCAGTTGCTTTGAAGACCTATACAAAGACAAAGAGTTTGTCAGTGGCGATGCTAGCTCACGAACAGAATTATTAGCTATTTATGGCTTTCCAGAGGAGCTATTTATAACTTTCTGAGTAGCTAAAAGTGCATCTGCGTGTGTGTGGCTAATTCTGCACAGTGGCAGCCTGAGGGCTGACAGGGCTAAGTCAACAGCTTTAAATATGATTTCTCAAAATGATAGTTTTGAAAACAACACTTTTGAAGGGCTGCTTACATTTGGGAAGCAGCAAGTACTTTATGTGAGCTAGTAGAATTAAACGGGAACAAGCTCTGCGATTGACAGTAAAGCACAACTACAGAACTCCTCCCATCTTTCTTTCAGGTTGCATGCGTTACGTCAGCCCCATGCCGTGCGTGTCAGTTGTCTCTGCGGGAGTGGAGAGCATTCTGCAGCATCACCGCCTAAAGATAAGCAGACCTGCCCCCTCAGAGCAGTGGTAAACGTGTGCCTCTGGACAGGGACGTGTCTATGCAGCAACGGGACCAACAAATCAGCATGTTTCAAGCCACCACCGCCCCAATGCTCTGAAACATCACCATTATCAGCGCACAAGGTCATGGCGTAGTAAATGATGGGGGATGGGATGATGGTAAATGGGGGATGAAGGGATGGAGAGCAGCCCTACCAAGAAGGACTTGGGGGTGCTGGTGGATGAAAAGCTGGACATGAGCCGGCAATGTGCGCTCGCAGCCCAGAAAACCAACCGTACCCTGGGCTGCATCCAAAGCAGCGTGGCCAGCAGGTCGAGGGAGGGGATTCTGCCCCTCTGCTCTGCTCTGGTGAGACCCCCCCTGGAGCACTGCGTCCAGCTCTGGGGTCTTCAGTCCAAGAAAGACACTGACCCGTTGGAGCGGGTCCAGAGGAGGGACACGGAAATGCTCAGGGGGCTGAAACAGCTC